TAAAACGAACGACGTGGTGAGGCTAACAGCGCTGTTTGGAATAATTCATCATCAGAGCCTATGTGAAAGTGAATATTGCAAAATATGAAATTAAAATAAATAAATATGAAATAGTGCAAAATATGAAATTAAAATAAATGTTAAATGTACGTAAAATATAATGGAATTATTAAAGAAATGACAGGTTAACCTTTGCTAGGGAAATTATATAAAGATGGTAGAAATAAATTTATATTGTAAAACTTTGAATGCAATTAAAGCGAACCATTATTATATTAATAAAAAGTTAAATGAATTAATATTGCAATTTAATTAGTATAAAATTACATGTCCGATTTAGAAACTCGCATATATAAGGACCTAGAGAACAAACCGTTGATATACGCACGCTATGTCGATGATATATTCATCATTTGCAGGACTGTTTCTGATGTGTATTGTCTGCGGAATATATTCCAGAATAATTCCCATTTAAAATTCACCATCGAATTTAGCAAAGAAAATGAACTTGCATTTTTGGACTGTTTTATTAAGCATTACGAAAAACAATTAACCTCGAAAGTCTATGTTAAACCAACAAACTCAGGTCAAGTATTTAATTAGAACTCAGATTGCCCTGACAAATATAAATTCAATGTTGTTTATAACTTTGTGCACAGAGTATATAAAACTTCATCCAATAATACTATTTTTCATAGTGAATTAGTGAGAATCAAACAATTTTTAATAAACAATAATTACCCTAACAAGTTAATTGACAACATTATTCACAAGTTATTAAATAAAATCAATAACTCAACACCTGCAGCGTTACTACCATTAACTACAACAAAAACAACAACATTAATTTCTACCTCAACTAAATGCATGATAACTACAAAATAGATGAATTTCAACTCAAAAATATCATAAAATCTAATATTTCTATGTGTAACGATGAACATCAACTAAAACTCATTATTTATTACAAAACAAACCGCACATCCAACTTAATAAAAAATAGTAACACATTTCATAAGCATTTTGGAACAGAGTAGCGTGGTGTACAGCTTCAATTGTTCTATGCCACACAGTGTTGTGGAAAATTATGTTGGGCATACGCGTACTACTCTGGCCAGAAGACTCACCATGCACGTACAGAATGGCGCTATTAAAGATTATATGTTTAAGACTCACGGTTTGCCGCTAACCAGAGCATTATTAAACGCCAACACAAAAATACGAACACGAATCGCATCCTGTTCGTCTTAAAATTAAAAAGGCTTTACACATTTACAACAACAAACTTTCTATAAATAAACAATTGAACACATTCGTCCATACCCTCCATCTTTATTCACAATACAGATAGGACAGTCCACAATGTGCCATTCATATCAACAACCGTGAACTACCACCACTATGTCACTACGAGTATGAGTCGGCTCCTAAAGATGGGATACCTATGAACGATGACCATGTGACCATTCGTCATAAGACTAATGTCACGGTTTTGCTGACTTCATTATTTGATAGTGCATAGTCAATATTTCCAATAATTTTACAATTATCTATATATATCTTAACATATTTAATAAATTAAATTTTTAGCAATTTTCCACAAGCTTTCCATACTTGTCCACTTTTAACAATAATTGTTTACATTCGACTAACTTATGTTTTATTTCTATCTCTTCGTTTTTAAATTTTATACTATTTAAATTGCAATATTAATTTATTTAACTTTACATTATTTTAATAATGGTTCGCTTTTTAATTGCATTCAAATTTTTACAATATAAGTTTATTTCTACCATCTTTATATAATTTCCCTAGCAAAGGTTAACAACCTGTCACTTCTTTAATTTTTAATAATTCCCTTATATTTTACGTACATTTAATATTTATTTTTATTTCATATTTTGCAATATTCACTTTCAAATAGGCTCTGATGATGAATTATTCGAAACAGCCTCACCATGTCGTTCGTTTTAAAAAAATATCAATTTGAAAAGTTCAGAAGTGTTGAGTTGTTACTAAAGAAAGTTATTAACGCATAATGGGCTTCTATTTTCAACGATGTTTGCGTATATATATATATATATATATATATATATATATATATATATATATATTATACAGTTATTAAAATATATCACCGCATTTTCCTCATTGTTGAGTTTGTAACATGTTCTTCAATTTTTCGAACAATTATTTTATCGATATTATTCAATTTATTCAAATTGATAATAAAATTTTTATTTATTTTAGACTGCATTTTTTATATGTACATTTACATAAGAGCTTTTTTCGGTAACCTTCACCATCATCAGTGTAATAGAGTTTGTGATATTGAAAATAAAAGGATTGTAAACGGTAATGTAAAAACTATCAATGAAAATGATAAATTAAAACTTAGGATTTATTTTACCCGAACAACAAAACCTCATCCCTTGTTTTTAAAAATAATTGCAATACTGAACCAGAATCGATTACGAAGAGCAGTCATCTAGTATATTCTTATGAATGTAGAATCGGTGATTGTAGGCACCATAACACAGATTATATCGGATTTACTACTACGATTTTATCAAGAAGGTTAACAATGCATACACAAAATGATGCAATAAAAACATCTAATGGATTCACACCAAATAAAAATAACAAGGAAAATATTAGACCATAATATAAGCAATTTGAGAATGGCAGAGGCTTTATTAATAGAAAATAGAAACCCTGTAATAAACATCCAACAAAAGGCTGTAACGATCCTACCAACAAAGAAATTACTCACAAAGAAACAATGGAACTTATAGTTTCTTTGTTTAAAATACTATAAATACCAGATGAACTACATATAAACAATATCATAAACTCTATTACACTGATGATGGTAAAGTTACAAACTCAACAATGCGGAAAATGTGGTGATCTTTCTTATAACTGTATATATACGACAGTCTGAACCTAAGTATTATCTACTGAATTATTATATTTAAAAGTATACCGTTGAACTTTTTTTTTAGTCTTTATTATTGCAACTCTGACATACGCAGAACCACTTACAATGATGTTGCATATATATTATCTATATATCTTTATTATGTTCTGAAGCAGGGTTTTCGAAGGGAATCACCGACCTCATCTGTCAACGTGATGCTTTCAGGCCCTCCAACCCAAAAACTGGCAATATTGCCACACTCTCACAATTACACGATTAGCTAAACACCAAAGCCTACATGACCACCATACATTCTCTGTGGATCAAGTATCCACAGAGTATCCAAAGTATCCAACGATTCTTAAAAGATATCTCCTCCCCACTATCTCTGAACATTTGAGCCCGTCCAGTCACCAACACGGCTTCCGTCCTGAATATTGAACAGCATTTGCGCTAAATCTCATCTCAATGAATGTTGCCAAAAGCTTTAATCACAAAAGGCAGACACACCACACTATACTGGCTGCAATCGATCTGTCCAAGGCTTTTAACATGGTCAACCACAGGATCCTCATCTCTGATCTTTAAAATCCTCGTTAACAGGCTCCATCGCATGCTGACTGTCAAACTATCTACATGGTCGGTCCGCTGTAACGGAATTCCGGAATCAATCATCAAAACAAGAAAACATCCATACCGGCGTGCCTCAAGGTTCAGTGCTGTTACTTGCGCTCTTTAACTTCTATGTGTCGTGCATCGCTAAACCTCCGCTTAATATCAAGGTCATATCTTATGCAGATGATTTTTCCATTTACACAACCGGCCCAGACGTAGATACTTTGATCCAACGTCTCAACAATTACCTTCCTAATCTCATCAATTTATTTTCAACTCGAAATCTCATTATCTCTATTTTTAAATCTTCTATCACACTGTTCACGCCGCACACAGCCAAATTTTACTACCACCCAAGGTCAAGATCAATGGGCAAATTTTGCTGCTTGAGCACACCCCAAAACTACTAGGCCTAACCTTCGACACGATGTTGACTCTCAACGCAACAGATTGTCAGCATCCAAGGCTGTAAAACGGAATAATATACTGTTTTTTCGCCACTTCTATATTGGTCATTTCAAGACAACCCCCATCTCAATCCACACATATATGCAAGATATGTCGATGTAATTTTTTTATATCTTATGAAGATCCTAACAAGGTCAATGAACCAATCACTGTTCACAACAAATCCAAAGTGAACTTTACCATTGACCATGAGAACAATAAATCCTTTTATATTTTTGATATCTTCGTCATCGCAATGAACATTGCCTTGAAACTGCAGTCTGTGTAAAAGACATTTGTGTCAATGTAAAAAGTGAATGCACTGAAAAATTTAAAAACAACAAACAAAAGCATTCGTCAAACCGCGCCTTCACTCACTCATCATAAACAGAAAAACGTGATGCGGAATTGAAAAAAATCACGAATCTCTTGGTAAACAATGGATACTGGACAGCAATGATCGAGAAAATAATAAAAAATAAATTACAACTTAAGAAACCACAACATAATAATCGAAACACTATTATAGGAATCATATGAACACTAACATCCATCCATCCATCCATCCATCCATCCATCCATCCATCCAAAGTCTGAGGCGCATAGTTTTTCCCAGTAGAGACAGTTGGTGTTAGTTTTCCTGATGTCGCTGCCTGAAGGATGAGTCGGCGCCGGTAAGAAGCATTTTTGCCTATTCTAACAGAAAACTTGTTAAACCCTTTTCCATGTAGACCGATCTTCCGCCATTTTTTCAAGTCAAGCGCTTTGATGTTACATTTTTGAAGTCCGCTTTTTGCTTTATTCAAGAAGAGTTTCTTGGGTGACTGACTTTGCGGCAGCCAATTGATAGTTCGCTGTAAAACAATTACAAAACAGACGAAACTCCGCCATAAAAAACAATGAGTTAAAAATAATAAAATTCACTATTATATCGATTGAACTCAATCAAATATGCACAAAAGATTTACTAATAAATAAAATAGCTATCAAAGTAAGTTTTCAGTCTTATAAATCTAACCAGCAAAAAAAGTGGAGAAACATATTTCCAACATATTTTCCAGTATACTCCAGGCTTATATCCAAGCATAGAATTTATGTCATCTGCAAATCTTTCTACTCCTTTATATAAATTGTAAGAAAATGAAAAAATACCATTAAATTATCATTAGTATCATTATTTTTGTTGTTGTTTTTATTGTTGTTGTTATTACGAATCTCTCATCAACAATTCTCGGAGGCATCAACATCAAACATACAGTGCATATAACTACACGTGAAACGACGCATCACACACCTTGCATGTGATAGGCGAGAGATCTCTTTGCAATCAAATCTGGTCACTGCAATAGCAGTGCCAGGCACTTTACCGCTACATCATCGTGTCGCCCAATCGCTAACGATTGTTTATTATTGTTTCATTTATATTACATACAAGATTATTTCTTTGAAAACGTAATAGAAATGAATAAAAAGCAATAAAAAAATTATATTACCATAAAAATAAGATACTGCCAAAGTTTCAAAAAAAACCGCAAACAAGATGGAAAAGCCAGCGGCATACTTATCCAGAAGTGTCACTACGTATGCCCCGCCCTTCAGGGGTTTTTGAAAGTTATTTTTATTTTAATATTTTAAATAACTCCTTATGATTTAAATGGAAACATTATCAATTTAAAAAAGGAAAAAATTGTTTCATAACAAAAAAGTTAAGAAAAATTCTCAAGACTTTTGTCAATTAAATTTTTATTTTTCTATAAACAAAATTATGCAGAGTTTTAATTTTGTATTAGATATAATTAGCTAGCATATCTTACAATCAAAAGCTGTAATAGAGTTGCGGATCGAATCACACACCAACAGTGGGAACATTTCTTAAAAATTGCATTAACCGCTTCACCTTGTGTTCACAAATTAGGTCATACAGAAGTCGTATGGTCAAAAGATTGTGTGCTTACTTTTGAACTCGTTACACTTGATTCCGTTTACTTGATCCCCAAATGTGCCAAATATAATTGATACCGTCAACCGATTCTACTTGGTCTCGCATGCAACTTGCACCCCAGTCAATATCAGCCATGATCTAGCTTTCACATCAGAGGTTGGACCCCAAAGATAACTGCACTGTTTAAATTCCTCATTTTCTAAAATTTTCATTAGAGGGCTAAAACATAGATTAAACAACAGCGGCGAGCAAGGATCTCCCTGAAGCACCACTTTTCTTACCGGTAGCAATGGTGTGAACTGTCCGTCGATCGATACCGGTATAGCATAGTTGGAATATATTGATGATATTAAATCTTTAAATTATTTCGGTACATGATGGTGAAGCAGAATTTAGTTGATGAGATGATGACTCACTTCCCCGAACGCGTTTCGGAGATCCAGTAGTGCGACGATTATTGGGCGTTTATGTCTCTGCATCTTTCATCAAATGAGTCAACATTTGGGTGTGTTCCGCCAGACCATCAATTGTCGGATAGAATCCTTTTTGCGTGTTTGTAATAATGAATTTGTTTTTGTTCAAGAAATCGTACAATCTGTTTTTTAGTAAAATTGAAAAATTTTTGATGGTTTTGGCTGTAACGTTATGGGGCGAAAGTTAGCCGAATAGTTTGGATCTTCTTTTTTATAAATTAAGATTGTTAAACAATTTCGCCAGCAGGTTGGGATTGTTGCGGTTTTCCAACAACTGGTTATTAATTTGTGGAGGTATGTGCGGAGTATTGGGCAGTAATAATAATAATATTAATAATAATATTGTCTCAGAGGCATCAAATTATTCGACATCTCCGAATAACTTATCATTTCGCATATTAAATTTGCAGCTCTCTCCTGGTCTGGTTTTTCTACACAACAAATTCAACTACAATCTCTCATCAAAAAACTAATTTGCCTCAACTATCTACCTGCATCATACTTACCATCACTCAGATATTCAACACACAAAGACTGTTCAAGAAAATAACAACCACGTCATCCATCCTCTACTACCACCAATCAAAACTACTACTCACAACCTTCGTCAACGCAAGCATAACTATCAAGTCGCCACTCATTAAACATATCAGGAAAAAACCTTCATCAAAAGACACCTCAAACATATTAGCACTCAATAAAACTTTACCATTTACTCAATCTAGTTTACCTTTTACTTATCGATCATCTCACTAATTTACTAAGTAATTATCTAGTCCATCAACATATTACTTTATTTATTTGCCTTTTTATACCATTACTGTATTTTATTTTCAATACTTTTCATGTTTTCAACATTTTTTCTACGTTTTTCATTTGGACTCTTTGCATTTGGAAGATGGGTTGCTTAAGCGGAAATGGTAATCAACAGTTGGATCGAAACATCGCATGCAGATTATGGTAACTAGGAATAAAATCGCAGAAATTCTTAAGGAAATGCATGTTGGCTCATCAGGAGAACATCTTGGAGTTAACAATACGCTTGACAAAATACGTGGGAAGCTCTATAAGATTAACGCTTGAGAAGATGTGGAAAGTTGGTGTCGAAAATGTAGTACGTGCGCATCAGTGAAAGGTCCCAAAAGAAGATTACGAGGAATAATGCAAATCTATAGTGTTGGTGGGCCCTTCGAAAGAATTGCCATCGACTTCGCCGGACCATTTCCTAAATCAAATAATGGAAACCGTTACATTCTGATTGTAGCGGACTATTTAAGCAAGTGGCCGAAAGTGTATCCGATACCAAATCAGGAGGCTTGTACCATCGCTGAAGAGATTGTAATGAACTGGATCAGTCGATGTGGTGTTCCCATGGAGCTGCATTCAGACCAAGGTTGAAACATTGAGTCGCAACTGTTTGGTAAGCTATGTCAACTGCTGAGTATAAAGAAGACAAGAACAACTCCTCTCCACCCTCAGTCAGATGGGATGGTGGAACGTTTCAACCAAACACTAATTGAACATTTGGCCAAGGTAGTTGACGAAAACCCAAAAGACTGGGATTGACGAATATCACAGTTCCTCATGGCATATCGAAGTGCCATCCACACCACAACTACTGGGAAGACTTTTTCAAAAATTCTTTTTGGAAAAACAATAAAATTTGGCGTACCACCTGAGGCCCCACAATCAATAACAAATTATGCGGACAATCTCTGTCGGCGGTTAAACAGCATTCACCAATACACGCGCCTGAAGTTGAAGAAGAATAGTGATTCAACCAAGACTCGATATGATCAAAAGAAAAGCACTGCTGGATTCAACGCCAATGATTTGGTATGGCTGTATAACCCTAATGGGAAAAAAGGACGGTCTCCAAAGCTTCAGCGAGATTGGGAAGGGCCTTATCAGATCATAACCCGATTGACCGACATCGTCTACCGAATTCAAGAACGGGACGAACAGAACCGAAAATAGGGGTAGTGTTATAACCGTCACAAATATATTCGCTAGAGGGCTAGTGTTGTTTTGAACGCATAGTTCGAGGAGGAACTAGAACCTTCCGACAGCGAGATACCTAGGACGTTCGAGAAGCGTCAGTAAAACGAAAACGGGATGCGAGATATTGAACAGTTGTTGTTGAATATTTGATATTAGAAAGCGATTGGTTGTTAGTGTAGACAGCAATATTTGATATTTGATTGTTTTTTATTGTATTTACGATAAACGTTAGTGAATTGTTATTCGGAAAACGATAGTTTTTGAACGTTAATTTGATAGTTTATGAACATTAACTTTTATTAGTAAAATTACTAAGCGTGGATTATTGTTTGATTAATTAATTAATTAATTAAGCGACTATTGTTTTGTACATAATTAAATCAATAATTTGGAAGTTATTTTGTCTTTATTTTTCAATGGGATTAAACGAACTCGTCGTTGACCGACCAGTTATAACAATATCTTTAGTATTCCTTTATTATCGTTACATATACCGTGTTAAAGTGTTCTGTAATAATTTTAGGATCATTGACCAAATAAACTTTTTACAACAGCTAGAATTTTACAATTTTTTTTTGTATTTTACGTTTTTTTTATTACAATATTAATCTATTAATAATCGTAATAATATTGTCATTGTTGTTGGTGGTAGTAGTAGTAGTTGTATTATAATCAAGTTATTCACATTTAGTTTACTGATTTCTGGTAGATAAACACAACTCTTTAAAACGCAGACTTGTTTAAACATTTATTTGAATGCCAACTGTAATACCAACACAGAATTAGTATCGAATCATAAAAATAAGTTAAATGTCACATGATCTCCAAAAATTTACAGTTCGACTCAATAATCCAACAGCTCTCCAACTACCTGCTTTCATTCAATCATCCGTTTCTTATATATATCCCTCAGTAGTTGTAAATAATGGTGAACACGGAGGTTTACAATCATAGAAAATAAAACAAAAAATAAATGAATAATTTAATTATAAGATAGTTTTTACTCTATATTATACATTACTCCCTCTTGAGATTGTTAAGTTCCTTTAACAATCAAATGTTATTATCGATGTTGCAAGGAGCTAGCTAGCCTGTTTACGTGAAGGACTTTCATCTTTGATGTCGTCGTTCGGTGTTTATGAATGCAGTTTACAGCCTCAATTAATCGGAAAATGACTCAGTATGGCCCTTCCGAATCTCGTTAAAATTTGGGAGACTGTTCTTTAATTCTATATAGGTTGTATAACCACACCAAGTCATTTTTTTTAAATCTGCATTATTTCCTTTTGAGTCATACTGGGTTTAGTTGCTTCGGTTTAGCTATAAGTAGATGTCATGGTCATTTCTTGATTTTGACGAAATGTTCTGCCACTTAACACCCGATCGGAACAAACCCCTTTGCATTGATTTCTTTAAGGCTTTTTCCAATGAGGATGTTGGAAATTTGTATAGCTATTTTTGGTTCGATCAAGTAAATTTTTTACTTCTCTGGGTTGCCACCTAATGTTAAACTTTCTCATAAATTTTGGTATTTCAGTCTTGGATCATTTGGATACGTTTCACTTACGTACTTCTTATTATTATTTTTATTATTCTCCAGCTGAGAAAACGCTACTCTAAATCAATATTAAAACCATGTTATATATATTGTAAGGAAAGACCGTTCGAATGCCATGCCTTTCTAATGGATATCAAATTGACTTTCCCCTAAATAGGTATTGTTCACCCAGTGGCTGTATGTAATGTATATCTGTTGTACTTTTTATGTTGTGGTGTGAAACTAAGTTTCTTCTTAGAATAGATCTTGTATCGATAGCAATCTTACTATTTTGAAAGCCAACTTTCCCGTCTAGCCAAAAATCATTGCAATTCCGGTATAATCTAGAAAAGTTTATTATGGTACTGGGGCGTTAGGTCCTTCATCCAACTTTTTACCCCATGAAATTGGCTTTTATTTGTTTACCCGAATACTTGTTAGCGGCGTAGACTGTAACGAGGAGATATCCTCGTCTATTTTATATTTCATTGTTTGTTGATGGCCATTGTGTTTTCCACTTTGTATGCAAAACCAACGATATATGGTCCTTTTTCCTGCAATTCCAGCATGTTGAAATATTTTTTTCTGTATGTTGATAGCCATTGTTTCCTACACTTTATCTGCAAAACCGTCGTATGTAGCCATTCTTCCGGCAATTCCAGCGTGTTGATATGACTTTGTTTGGGTTTTCTTTGGCTACTTTTTGATACGAATACTCCTCATGTAATAGGTGTACTTTTATATTAGTTTTTGACGCTTGTTTTTTCCGCTTTGAAGGTAAGGCCATACACAATAGCATTTTTGATGCTGCGTTTATCTGCTAGCAAAATATTTTGGCAAAGCTCTAAATCACGGTGGGCTTTGATAAACGTTTCCAGCGCAGCATCATTTTTATGCTCATAGTTTGATAATGGGTAAGAGGACAGAGTCAGTCAGTCGTTCTATATCTTGTGATAGCTGTTGTGTTTCTTTTCTCGGCCGTAGTGTTCTGTTCCTGAGCTGGGTCTTTTATGTCTGCTTTATGTGCCTTTTCTCATACCATAAGTTTGACGCATTATTAAGGTTGCGAAGTTGAATGGTTTCTTCTCAGAAATTGTTTGCAGTACTTCCACTGCGGGGCCTCGTACAGCTAGTACTAGCGCTGTCTGTCTTCCTATTATGGCTGATTGCTTCTATCTCGAATAGGGTTTTGTAAATGTTTCTCCGTCAATCACAAGCGCATTTAACATTCTCGCAGTAACGTGATTTAAGGCGGCTATTTCATATCTTGCTTTCATTCCAGTTGTTGCTTTATTCGGCCAATTTCACAACCGACTTCCTGTTTGAAATTGACAATCTTTAGATCAGCTATTATCGATTGTCGTAGGAGATAGTTAAAATGTAAACGCTTGCTAATTTTGTACATTTTATTATTGACTGCTCAATGTTATATAATGTTGGTTTTCTATGTTATATATATATCACAAAAATCTGAAATTCTGGATTAAATGTAATGGAATGGTGACCAAGAGTAGTCAGGATTATAAGCATAAGAAATATAAGCAACATCAAGTGAGTCAAGATCAAGTATAGCTGAGATTGAACATGGGAATAAAGTGTACTCAGGTCCAAGTGACCTGGATCAAATATAACAGGATCAAATGTAGAAGTGTAAGCAAACCAAAAAATATCGTTACTAAACCATCAATTGATACCAATATTGCTTTAAATGTCGTAAAATCATCATCTGCCAAAGTGCCTATTAAACTATAAAATTTATTCAAACTTTTCATTAATCAATATCTGTTGAATAACGTGTAACATGATGCCTTAAAATATGTGCAATTTTTATAGAAAACAGATTCTACAAATAGACAGTCGATAACTTGATATATGTACACGGGTTACTTAATCCATTAGTGAGAATCACATTTGCACCCTATTTACATGTCATAATGTAAAAATATTGTAGACATGTTGACAAAATGTTTGACTTTTATGACAATTATATAGCAATTAACCAGCAACTTAAAACCTTTAATAACTAAAAACAAAAGTTTAAAATACAAATTTTTTGACAAATAAACTGATATAAATTTATTGTCTGTTTAAATATTTCAAATTAACAAAAGATTGTAGCTCAATAGAAAGAATAGACGCACTAAATCATTTTTAAAAAAATTCATCTACTACCTTTGTACGTACTCACAAATACATACTTTTGCATTTCACATTAAACGTTTCATTTAAAATGAACGATGTTTATAGCCATTTAAATTTTTTCAAATAACATTAAAAGTCACTGAAAAATCATATTCTGCTAGTTCATATAAACAAATATGTTTAAAACCTGTGTGCAGCTGGGCAGTCCAACAAAAAAATAAAATGTGAAAAGACATGCAATAAAAATCTCCCGGTTGTTTTTGATAAGTGGATACTCGTCACTGAGAGCTGTTATAATTGCTTCTGAACCTCCGAACTGTATGTTAAATTTATTTAATGGTTGAAAAAAGCATTTCATTCTAATTAATAATAACATTTTTATACATACCGAACTATCAAGTCCTAATGTTATAAGCATAAGAAAAAATGCAATTGACCAAAAAGAAGAAAATGGTAAAGTGGCAATAGCTTCCGGATACACCACAAACACTAAACCCGGACCTAAATCAATTAAACTCAGAAGTTGTGTAAGCTATTTATATTTAAACTAATGTTAATGTTTATTTATTAGTTCAAATTAATTAATTCATTCATTCAATTTTATTATCTGTTGTATGATTTTGCATACAATGTTTACCTTCTGTAGCCACATCTTGGATTAGTTTCCCAGATTTGTGACTCATGTAACCTAAAACCGAGAAAATGACAAATCCTGCCAAAAAACTTGTCATGCAATTGATGAGACTAGTTGCAATGGCGTCACTTTAAATGTTTATATAAATAAATATTTTGAATCTGTTTGTGAAATTATAGATATGTTTAACAGCATGAACAATAATGAAATAATAGAAATTTATTTTTTCAAATTATAGTTTGTTAAAAAACGTGGTCTACAAATTAGATTAGTAATTTTTTAAAACTCTAAATTATAATCACGCATTTACTTAATTCAATCAGTCAAAAAGGGATCTATAATAAAACTTAAGATTAAATTATAGATTTTACAACTGATTTTAATTTTTGGCTTCTAATTATTGTTTTAAACAAATTGCGATAAAAATAATTTAATGGCAGTTTAATTACAGCAGTATGAAAAAACTTTTAATCAGATTAAATTTATTTGTTTATAAGTTTAGCAAAATGATCGAAAAGCACTTTAAAAAAATAGTTTTGTATCAAGTGCTGCATTTAATTTGGTGAACAATTATTAAAAACATTCAGAAAATGATAGTCTGCAAACTAATCTGCATTTGATGTAGCACAAACATGAAAATTCAATGCGTCAACAAATCGTAAGTATTGATGCATTCAATGCTTGCTAATGCTACGCCTCAGGTTTTTCCGCTCAAAAGCTTTTACGATAAATTCAGTCGTTTGTACGTTTTATCTATGTTATAAAAGAAAAATGCAACCCACGAATACGTACATAGATACTATGTGTATATATGTATGTGTAATATCCTAATATAACGTATTTGATTTAATAGGATGTGTTAACTTCTTATAAAAATAGTTACCTAATGTAGTTACTTATTTATGAAACGTGATTATGATTAACCACAGTAGTCACCTATTCATAAAAATTGGTAAACCTTATTGGTTACCCATTCATAAAAAGTAGTTAATTATAGTAGTTACTAACCTATAAAAAATAGTTAATTACATTAGTCACCTACTTATAAAAATTGGTTAATTACAGTATTTATCAACTTATAAAAAAGTCGTTAACTGTAGTAGATAGTAACTACTAAACTATTTTAACTACCATAACTATTATTTTTAATTTTAATGTTCTTAGTAGCGAATTTTCAGTCTCAGTTGTGACTATATTGTTGCCGTTTGGTATAGAAAATATAACAGTATTATGTTATGATACGAATAATGGTGTGATGTATGTTTGTGTGTGTGTGTGTGTGTGAGAGCTCCCAGTGGTTTGTGGACTACATTGTTACCGTTTGGTATAGGAAACATAACAGTTTTATGATATGAATAATAGTATGATGTATGTGTGTGTTTATGTTTCTGTTACGTTTATAGTTAGAATTTTTTAGTTAAGAGTGGTCTATCCACAAGTTTAACTTTTTTGGTCATCCATCAAATAAAAAAAAATAAAAAATTATAATTAACCTCAAGTTTACATTTTTTCATTCGAAGCTAGTATTAAAAGCAAACATATTTTAGTTTTAAATGAAAGAGAAAAAAATAAATTGAAAATTTTATTTACAAATAAGTGTAGTTTAATAATAACTGATTTTACCATCAAAAAATAACTTACTTATTTTAGAACAAAAATTTCATTGAATAAAAAACGCTAAAAGGTGCAAATTGAAAAACAAAGAAATAAAAACAACGTTAAAATAGCGATTTTTAAAGTAGAAAATATGTCATCAAAAAATTATCATAAAAAATAATTTTAAATAAAAGTGTTGCAACTTTAACAACCAGGGTATTGAAGTCCGACATCTTAATTAATAACTTTAATTTTACTTGAAGACTACTACTAAATAAAAGATATTTTTAACACATTTGAATTCAATCACTTTAATTGTTTATTTTTGGTTAATTTTATTTTATATATTGTTATAACAACCAGAATGATAAAATTGCGCTGAATTATTTGTAATCCTAATTATTGTTATTTTTGCTATATTTGTAATCTTTGGATTGTAGACCATAGAAGATTGTTAAAAAAATATCGAATCGATGCTAAAACGGAATATATAAAATCGACATGTGTTATGTGAAGAGAAAACAGGTTTTTAGCGAGGTTTTTAGTAGCAAGGTTTGATGCAAAGTTGTAATTGTGATTTATGTAGTTACTTGGATTAGTTTAGTGTTTCTATTACTGTTGGCATTCAAATAAACGTTCAACAAAGTTTGCGTATGAAACAGTTGTGTACATTTACCGAAAATTTTGAACCTACGGAATAACGAACACTTGACGACCGTTGGAAGCTACAACAATGGTGCTGGAAATTTAGAGATCTTCAAAGTTATAACATTGGTGATGGCAGTATCGAAATTTTCTGCAATAAAGAATGCCAGCGCTAAAAGAACTTGATAATATTATTCTGAGAAAAGAACTATGGCAACGAAACGTCGACTCGTTAAAAGCAAAAGTAGTTTTGATGAACCGCCTAAGAGACACTTTCATAATCGAAGGTCTCAAACCGGATAATTTCCACTTTCCAATTCCTATAGAACAAATGGTAGTTGAATTAAAAGCCAATTTCAATAGAAGATTCGATCAACATGCAGAAAAACTAAACAAGATCGACCAGCAATCAAAAAATTTTAAAACGGAAATAAACCACAAGATCGACCAGCAATCAAAAGATTTCAGAACGAAACTAAACGACAGGTTCGAAGGAATAATCAATGTGATAGAACAGCAAACAAGAGACTTTAAAGAAAATTAAATGAACAGATTGATAAAATAGACCAGCAATTTGTCGAGTTAAGCCAAAAAATTGACCAGAATTAAACAAAAGAATCGACGAATTAGAACAGAAGCATCAGCGAAAAATAGAGAAAATTACCCGAAAACTAGAAATAAAAAAAGAAGCCACATACATGGGTACGCCGCCGTCAAGTCAATAAAAGTATCAACATTTGACGGTGTCACACCCTGGGGAAAGCTACCAGACTCAGTTTTAAGCAACAGTACACAGCTACAGCTACGGGTGGAACACGAAAAAACAAGCGACGGCACGCACTAGAAGGCTCCGCTTTGGAGGCATAACAATCTACTCCCGCCAAAAACCGTGATAACTTCGAGATTCTAACCAACGGGTTAGACCGACACTATGGAAACAAATATACTGAGACCTCTACTTAACACAGCTTGGACACCGTATGCAGAAACAAGAGGAAAATGCTCAACAACTAGCACAAGACATGAAGAAAATAGGTGTCGAAGGATCGTTTCAACAACAGGAGACTACAAACCACCAGAATGCTGGACCTGTGAAAAATGGGCATGTCAGGAAATATTAAGAGGCTCCAGAGAAGTAACGCCTATCAATGGAACGATACGAGAAAAACTAACTTTCAAAGAGTTGTCATCCCCATGATTGAAACGTCTTCAGCTAACACGTCGGGAAAACTAGTAAAAGCCAACTTTACGGTGTCTAGGTTAGTTAAGAAAACAAACGCCCCCGGCCGTGTTTTTCATGTTCTGAAGCTGAATCGTGACCGAGATGACACTTGGGTGGATGGAAAAATAGATCTACGTAAATGCCGGATTGCCATCGATACAAGAGCAACTAGGTCTATTATTAGACAAGATACGGCAATAGATCCGAATCAAGAAAAATCTAGCAAGTACCTATTTTGAACCGCCACTGGAAAAACGGTGCCTGTTTATGGAGAAGTGTTCTGCACTGTAGAGATGGAAGACCTGGAGTTTGAGGGCACATTCCTGGTAGCAGACTTGATGATGAAGTACGGCTTCTACCTGGATCTGGAAAAACTTATTTAAAATGTAAAAACACGGAAATGGTTACGGAAAACAGACAACCAAAATGCGTTCAGGTAACGGTCGATGGTGATATGGTATTAACAAGTCTCATTGAGGCAAAACTGAAAAACAGTGAATACAAGACCCAACAAATTGTCCTGGTAAAACCTACGCCGACGTCCAAAGTACCGTATATCATTGTTAGAAAATGTCTGGTAGAGGTCAAAAAGCGGCAGAATTCCGATCAAAATAATAAATGTAGTGGAGAACTTAATTAGAGTAAAGGATTGCGGAGTGATTGGCAGTTTCCAACCAGTGACTAAATTCGTCAAAAGAATTTGTCAAAAATTAGACGATATCTACCGAAACGGGCGAATCAGTACAAAAAAGACACGGAAAATATCAAAACTCGGTATGACTTCAAAAACAGTAGCTCAGGGTTTAAAAAAATGACTTCATCTGGCCGTACAACTTACGGTGTTGCCAAAAACTCCAAATAAATTGGGGAGGTCCATACAGGATCATTAACAAAATAAATGACGTAACCTAGAGGTCCCAAGATCATGAAAGACAGCGGGCAAAGATGAGGCTCATTCATTTTGATAGGTTAGTCCCCTATTCATAAGAATAGAAAAATAACGCTTATGTTAGTGACTAACAGGCTAAGGTGGGGTAATGTTAACGAAACGTTATCACAACACCAGTGGCAGATCCAGAGGAAGATGCGCTAATGAATATTTTCCCCAGACTACAGACTATAAAAAAAGAAAATATTGAAACTCACCGAAACGAGAATTACAAAAATGTCGTCACTAGAATTTGATTTTGGAAATCATTCCTTACAGCAAAATTCTGAATCCGTCACTGCATAAAATTACAGTCCTACAGTTGCGTGGCCAGACATTTTTTTGGAGAAACTGAAATTATTATTTTTAAACAGTTTGTTATCTTTTCAATGCTTGTCTACCTATTTCAATATAATTTAATTGAGAAGAATTGAAACGGTTTAATTCTGCCTTGGCCCTAGCTAATTTTTTTGTTTTGGGAACCCCCTCTTAGTTTAAAGAAATTGATTCAAATCACAACATGAAACTAGCTTTTTTTAAATTTTTATCATGTAGTAAAATTTATTTTCAAAGTAATTTTTCCTTAATATGACTATATTTTTGCATATTTTTTTACATTAACTGTAACAGATAAATAATGTAATACAAAAAATTCAAATAAGCAGTTTTTTATATTGAGGTGTTTTTCAATTATTGGTAACTTGCGAGTGAAAATATGATGGTTATAACAATTTTACACATATTTTTGGTTACATCCATTATCAACCTTAAAAATGATTGCCACCCAAATTTGAAAAGTTATTTTTAGAATATATATAATCGTTTTTTATCAAATTTTTAATAGTACTCTCCGGAGTGACGGAGTTGGATGAAAAATATCCGACCACTTAAATACTATAGACTCCGGCTCCAGCAATAACTTCTGACTCCGATACCCTGGTAACAAAAATAACTATTGAAAAATAGTCAACTACTAATAGTTAATAAAAATTTTAAAATGAAATAATGTTCAATTATTTTTTACTAGAAATATTTTTTACTCATTTAACATTATTTTAACATACTTGCCCTCGTTATAGTACTTATATTAGCACAACACGTGCTTCACATTTTTCAGTCCACCGAATCACTTTAAATTCATTAATTTATTTATTTTATTTATCGGACTAAACTCTCTAAATACAGGCTATCTTTAATTCGTTAATTAAGTTAATCAATTTGCTAGTTTAGGATGCTTGCTATTTAAATGTTTTAAATAATTTTGTTTATTGAATTTTTTATACTGTTTTATTTTTGTTTTTGGACTTCTTCATAATTGTTTGTTTAGCAAATTTTTTGGTTGAGTCCGGTTAAATCTTTAGAAATTGAACTTTATAAATTTGATTTATTTATCTATTACGGTCACATCATTGCTGTGTGAAAAGTTCAAAATGCGCTTTACAAATTAATTCAAGGTATGATGCAACAGTATTAACATGTTTAATCATTCTGAAAGCATGTTTTACAAAACTTATCAAAAATATCCATACTGTTTCCAAAAAATATCTTTAGAAAAATTTTTAAAATGAAAACTTCAAATTTAATGTAATACAATTTGGTATAAAACAATACTAAACTAATAAACGTTGTTATGGAATTTATTATAACTGGCAAAAGCCAAAAGAACTCCAAATCCAGGTCCTAAAGAAAAAAATACCTGTGTTGCTGCATCTACCCAAACCTTTGTTAAATATAACTTTTTAGCTTTAACAACTTAAAATAATATGATTATTTTATTTCAGGTAAAATAATTCATTCGGATTTATTTACTAACACTTGACATTGTAAGTTTGTCGAAGCTTGGTGTCAAATAATATTTGATTCCTTGAAATGATCCTGGTAAAGTGATGCCTCTCACCAAAAGTATGCTCAGCACAACATACGGAAATAAAGCTGTAAACCAGACAACCTAAATTAATTTATTGAAGATATTATGTAAGTTATATGATTAGAGAGACAATAAAGGCAAAGTAATTATTGTATTTTTATAGTGAACTGAAATTAGGTTAATTAGACAAATTTTTAAAAAATTATTTTACTAATTTTTTGAAAACTGATTTTACGGAAAAAATTGTTCGAACGAAATTAATAAATAAAGTGTAATAAAATTGTGTGAATGTTAAAACAAAAAGTTCATTTTGTTATAAGTTAAAAACGTAGTCATAAAAATGTTAAAATCTAAGGAACATAAATATGAAATATTTCACTTTTCCAGATGTAGAAATTCCCTTCCACAAACTGAAGTAACATATGAGGTAAACGACAAACAAACAAAGAGCAATTTGCCACTTAATATGTCCCAAATTTTCTATCCCAGCCGCTTTATCTATTTCTAACATACCACGCCTTTGAATTAATTTATGTATATAATATTTTAGTTATATATATATATATATATATATATATATATATATATATATGATTCAAGTCTTCATTGATGATTCAGATATACAGTTGTTTAGGAAAGACGCAAACAACATTCTCAGCGTTGCTTAATTTTTTATTTAATTTTTCGATCTTTCTTACGATGAATTTCAGTTAATTATTAAGTTTATTTAACATTTAATTGTGTGTATGAGTTAAATAAATTTAATAATCATATTTCGGTGCTTAGTCCGATTTTGTTTGTCTGTTTTGAAAGCTGTAAACCACACAACCTAAATTAATTTTTGCAGTTTTGAAAATTGTTCAATCTTTTGATTTCACGTGTTATGCATTAGAGCCCTGCGCGGTTTGCGGTTGTCGTGGTTTAAACCGCAAAAACCGCACCGCAACCGCGGGTTTTTGCGATTGCGGTGCAAAATCATGCGGTTTTACGCGGTTGCGGTTTTGAAATATGCGGTTTTTCCGCGGCGCAGTTTTTTTTATCAAAACCGCGGTGATCGCAAAAATTTTGTTAAATATTTTTGTTCGTCCATAACATTTTAAAAATTGCATTATCATTGTAATAATTTTATATATTAAAATCCTAATATCTTTGGAAGACGTTGAAGCAACTATTTTCTTTTTCCTGTTTACTTTGAAAGAAGTAGTTATTTTATTTACGGCGTGGTTAATTATCGATTATTTTAATAATGTCCGAGGTAAAAAATGTTGAAGTTGATCCACAGATCAATTACATCTGTAATTGATAAAGAATTTTTGATTAAGTTGATGCTGTCCAAAAGCAAAGATGTTTCTTTAAAAGCTCAAGTTTCCTATTTTCTGTTCAGCATCCCAGTTTCGAGTGTTTCGTCAGAAAGGGTAGGATCATCTCTCAATTACACACTGCAAAAGAGACGGTCCAGTTTAAATCCATACAAAATTGACAAAATGTTATTTATTAAGAGTAACAGTGATTTGGATGTAGATAGTTGTGATTTATAATGTCAATAAAAGCATTAATGTTGTTTTTCATTTATTGCGGCGCAGTTTTCGGCAGTGCGGTTGCGGTTTTCGGCGGTGCGGTTGCGGTTTTCGACGTTGCGGTTGCGGTGCGGTTGCGGTTTCAAATGTTGCGGTTTTGTGCGGTTGGGATTTTTGAAAATTCCAACCGCGCAGGGCTCTATTATGCATACACCGATGACATTCAAACTATAGTTACAAGCAAACCAGAATCACTTCAATTTAAAATCTCCGTCCTTGTAGAATTCATTACTCAAGTCAATCAATCAATTAGTTAATAAAGTGTTATTTCTGTGATATTCAATAGCGCTCTTCAATAAATTTTGCAAACAGAAGAGTCTTGAGATCAACTATAAACCTTGTAAGTGATGTAGAAGTAGTCAGAGAAAGAGGTAGAGAGTGCCAGAGAAAAGGGCTAGAAAAAGAAAATGCAGATTTAGCAAAAAAGTGTTTAATTCGAGTTAAGAGTTAAGTCATTAAGGATGCAAGGATTAAGCATTGATATTTTCAGACAAAAATTAAAAACTCAATTACTTCGTTTCTATACCGTTCAGTCATTTTGTGTTTTTTGATCAAATTTTATAAATGCGCTTTTGAGATACTCTGAATTGGCACTATATAAATTTTTTAATGATATATATATATACATACATATATATATATATATATATATATATATATATATATATATATATATATATATATAGGATTATATATATATATATATATATATAGGATTACCGAAAAAAGATTTTTCTGTACAAGATAAAAGGGTATAAAAAGTAGTTAAAAACTTTGCTTTCTAAATAAATAAGTTAAAAAAACGATGATAAAAATAAAATTTTGCGTTGATTAACTTTTTAACAATATACTCAACACAACGAAATTGTTTATAATGAGCCTAGCAGCGCTGTTTCGGCGTGGTGGCCATCATCAGAGCCTTGATGGCGTGATGGTTTAATGATTAAGGTCGTCTGGTGCTGTTTCGCAGTAACCGGGTTTAAATGTGACAAAAAGATCCCCGCCGATCACATGCTTCGTGTGTGATGCGTCGTTTAGCACGTATTCATTTACGATGTTTGTGCGCGCTGTTAAATCCTTTGAACTTTGGAAGAGTGTAATTGACCTTAACCTTGAATTTTACATATAATGATTTAAAAATATTGAAGAAATCAAATAGACAAAATTGACCAAAACGAAATAAATTGAATTGAAGTAAGATAAAATAAAATAAGGTTTAGTATAAAATTATAAGTTAAATTAGAATAAAATAATTAAATCTTAATGGTCAACGAAATTTAATTAAATTAAGAAGGTAAAATTACTTGAATATAACAAAATAAAAGTGTTATCTTGTTATTATCAAATTAAACGGAATAAATAATTTATCGTATGAAAAAAAATAAACTAACAAAATAAATGTATTAAATTAACGAAGTTTTTGCGATATACAATGTTAATCAATGTTAATCTAAAATAGTTTTATATGGGCTGATACAAATGGGCGTACGTGTATGTAGTCAACCATATATCCATATATTAATTGTGCGATATAATAGTGTTAACAGCAGTTAATCGGAATCTAGAATAGTAAAATGATCATGCTGATAGGCCTTATTTCGATTTTTCACAAATCATCCTCAGTGCAGCTTTGGTTTATATAGTTTTTTTTAGACAAAGCAAAGTTAGCTAATTAGTTGGTGTCATATTTTTCAACAGTTTTGTTCCTCATTGTTATTGGAGTTAGTATTAAAGCGTCGTGTTCGTAATAATGTAATCATTCTTTGTTGGATGTTTATTTGGGGTTTATTGATATCTATTGAACCAGCTTCTGCAATTTTTATTGATAGACGTATTGTGCTGGTGTTTTGATAAATTTTTTTTCAAGAATCTTATTATGTGTTGTTATCAAGAATTATTATGCGGATTATTGGAATTGCATGTGTCGATTGTAAGATTTGATGACTCCTCTTTGTGTAAACATTATGCGAACAGTCGTCAATAGGTCATTTGAATTCGTATATTACATGATTACTTTTCAATGTAGAATCATCTTTAGGAGTGCATTTGATTGGTGTAACGTTTCTTTTTATAATTTGTTTAAGGGCGACTATGTCTATTTTATGTGCCGCTGACATATGATTTTTGTCATATAAGATAATGCCCTTGTCTTGTTGTTTTTGAGTATATAGTTATTTTGCTATAGTCTTTGTTTAATGATGCTTTTGTAGCCATTACTCACTAGTAGATTGAATAGTAATTCTTTTCAGTTTCGTATTGCGGATGAATGCTAGAATGCACAGTTCACAAAGGATTTTACTGTTCTTACTTTGATCTGTTCTGTGCATTTGCTTAGTCCATTCAACAAATACCTTTGTTTGTTGCTTTGAAGTAGTCGTAAATATTTGCTCATCATACGTTACCAAAACATCCAGAAATGGCAATGAATTTTCACTTTCCAAATCGTTAGTGAAATTCAATTTTGGCTGGTTCAGTGTTGATGGGAGCTAGTTGACTTGTTTCGGATCATCGATATCGTCAATATATCTGGCATAAATGTTTGGTTTTAATTCAGGGGTTTCTCTGAACATTTCGCTTTTAAGATGTCCTAAAAAGAAATTTGTGAACAGGACACTGAATGGTAAGCCCACGACTACACCGACAGTTTGCTTGTATAGCTTGTCTGTGGGGTGGGAAAAGGTGCTTCGGTTTGCAAATTTGGAAAAGAAATTTGAGATATGTTTTTAGTATTTTTAAAAGGGTCATGTTTGAATGAATAAGAGAAGCAATTGATTTGATGGTTTGTTAGTGTCCAATAAATGGATAAATTCACAAAAGAAGTGTTGATTATAATTATTTAGAGAGGAGTGTTGATTATAAACATTTGGAGTAAATGGGATTGAAGTTTTGTTTAGATTTTTGGCAATATGGTAGTTACTGTGACGATTTGGCTGATGATGGATCGAGGGGGTTGTTCTTTTTGTGCGTTTTGATATTGCAACAGAGGTATCCAGGTGCATATTTACCTTAAAATAGTTGGATTTTTTTAAGTATTTTTTTGTTGATTAATTTTATAATTGCGTTTAGTTTAGTCTTTAGATGAGCATCGGAGTCTTTTTTGATTACATGAAATTTGTGCTGTCGTTGAGTAAGTCTTCGATTTTGGCGTTGTATTTGATTATATCTAGGACCACAAATTGGTTGGACTTGTCTGCACGTTGAATAACAATTTTATCATTTTCTTTCAAATCCTTTGTGGCAGTTCTAAAATCATCTGTTACAAGTTTGCTCTGAAAATTGCCTAGTTGTTTCTTGGCTTCAACTTGTAGCTCAACTGCAATTGACGGTTTTACCGTAACTTGCTTAATTTTTTATTTAATTTTTCAATCTTTCTTACGATGAATTTAAGTTGATTATTAAATTTATTTAACTCATATACGAAATTAATGTAAATGTTTAAAATGGAAAAGCTATTTTTGAAAATTCATATTTCCATTATGAATGTTAATTTTCGTGTTGTCCTTGTATAACAGTAACTTAAAGCACCATTGTGAAAAAACTGAATTATATGTAAATGTAAATGAGGATTCGCAAATGTGTGTAAACATGTGTGAATGTGTGTAATTGAACGTGAAAATAAGCGTGGACGTTTGTGATTGTGTATAATTGAGCGTGAATTGGAACGAAGAAATGAACTTGTGCATTTGGCCACATACACAACGTATCAATTCGTACACCGAAGGTGGCATAGGAATTTTTGTATTGACATGCTTAAAAGAAATAAAAATTTTGGTTTTGAACTCAAGAAACTTGACAATGATTTACGATTTACCGTTAGAAGAATTGAAAAATTAAATAGGTAGCTAACTAACGAAAAACATGCTGTGATTTTCATAAATAATGATAATGCTGTGATTTCTGAGAGTTTATGTATATATATATATATATATATATATATATA